AATGCACTAGGTATATTATATTTTTAGGAAGTAATAGACTGGTTTATTTTAAAATTAGAATAGAAAAGAAATTGAGAAAAATAAATATAAAAGTTATATTTAAGAGATGTGTTAACTCTTCAAAGGTAGGAAACGGAATGAATAAGATATTATTGAATATGTGATATCATTTAATTGAAATTTAGCTTTCGTTACAAGAAAATTAGAACAAGATTTGCATCTGCCGGAAATATCGAAATCGAATCAACTGCTTGGAAGGCAACTATGCTGACCATTAAATCACCGACGAAAGATCAACAAAGCCCGCGGGAAGAATCCTTGCGGCACGAACAATTCTAATTGTACAATTCATAAATTATTTGATTTTTAAATATCAGTATCAACAATATCACGTATATTCATTTTTTATCTCAATTTAAAATCCAAAATTTCTCAAAAAATTGCGTGCTACTAAAAATACACGTACATTAGAAAATTAACAAGTTGCAATCAGGTCGTTGTGAAACTATGAAAAAAAATTACGAAATTTGGAAAATATCTTTGTTTTCGCCCGGGATCGAACAGGAGACCTTCCGCGGATGTGAAAACTACTACACAACGAAAACATATACGGACAGCAGGTAGATTCAGAATATACTAAGTCCTTATTGAAAATGAATGAAGCAGGAGATTTAATGTGTGTGAATAAATCATTGAGGGAGTATAAGAATGAATCTGCAATTAGAATGTTTTCATTCTTTCATTCTTGCAATGATTGTTCTTTCCAGTACATTGGACGAACCTCTCAATATGCATACAAAATAATGAGACAGCATGAACTAAATGTTGTTCACCGTAAACAGGAAAACTTCAAGACCCTTGTTCAGCACTCTGTCGAAAATGCACACTCGTTTAACTACAATCCAAAAATTTTATATTATCAATGTTACATCTTTAAGAGGTTATTTGCGGAAAGTTGTCTTATACTTATGAATGTTTCCAATATAGATCTGATCACAACATGTTACATTATTGAAGTAAAACTTCTTTAGGCGCGACATGGGTGTAAAAACTTCATTAGACGCGACACGGGTGTAAATCCGTACAAATGCAACGAAAACGCCAACGTGAAGTTGAAGACTACGACGCTAGTAAGTGCAGCTATCGCAATTATTCAATCTAGTCCGCGAGCAAAACAAAAAATACATCAAATGTCAAAAACAAGAAAAAATGTGTCGACTTTTACTTGAGTTTTGTATTTAGCTCGTAGTCTCTAGACATTTTTTGAAGTAAAACTTCTTTAGGCGCGACATGGGTTAGCAGTATAATTCGTGAGTTAATAAAAATGTCAGGATCGGAAGAATATTTTATCCCGTCCCCCATAAATAATTGTAGTGCAAATGATCGCAAATAAATAATGAAACTAAGAAAAAATTTGCGCTGCGTAAGAAATGATAGCTTTGGCTATGTATGTTTTGTGTGTGATCGACTTTGGCTTTAAAGTGACTTAGAAATATCAAATGATGCTCAAAAACAAATTCTTAATAATGTTTTTTGAATATTGATTTAAATAATCAGGTTGGGTGTCAAACTTGTCGAAAGATATTAAATTCGAGTAAAATTCCCACTTTGTGTAAGTTTAACGGGTTTGTATTTCCACCTATACCAAATTATCTACCTAAACTAGATATTGTATCTGAGAGGTTAATTTCACCTAGGTTGTGTTTCATGCAAATTAGACGATTGCGACATGCAAATGGACAATTTGGAATGTTTGGCCAAATTATAAATATGCCTGTTGACAGTAATAATATGGTTAATTTATTACCTCGTAATATTGATGATGATCATTGCATTGACGTTCACATAAAAAAGCAAATGATTCATAGATCAAGCTATGTGCAGGGCTTGATAAATAAAACAAATATAAAAGTATGGCTTCAATTTGTTAGGCAAGACGGATATTACAGCTGTTCAAGGAATGAGATTATATCGTCAGCGAAAAAGTAAAAAAATACAAACAGTAAATGAATGTATGTTAATTTTAATTACATGAAGTTCTTCAAACACAATTGTTACAGGATGAGTTAATTTGCAAAAACAATATTTGTTTAGGCGTTGTTTAACATAATCCACTTAGTGAATGAATATTATAGAATTTATTAATCAGCAATTAGTTTAAAACGATCATGTCATATTTCAAGTACGACTTTGATTACATTATTGTTTGTAAATATTATACATATTTTTAATGTAATCATAAATATATAATTTATAATTTATCATTATATAAATGTGTATAATGATTGACGACACTAATAAATGTGTGCATCACGAGTGTTACCATATTACTAATAAACATTATTCGAAATTTTTATATGATGTATTTATTTTTACTCAACTTAAATTTGCTACAATATAATTACAAATAAGTTTTACTTCAATCGTCTGTGATCCTTACGCGCACTCTTTTTCTTATTTAAATCTCCTACATTGTTCGACAAATAATTAAAAATCATTTTTTCTTTTTAGTTTTATACGTCTGTTTGTTTCCGAAATTTACTATTCTGTTCCTGTACTTCATAATATATCAATGTCTACCTTAAGACAGAGTTTAAGGGGTTACACCACTGTAGCATCCAAAAAAAACGTGTGTTTTGACATTTTTTTTTCGGGCGAAAGGAAAAGTAATAAAATCATGAAATTAAGGATAGTTATTTATTGTACTTTATGTAACAAAAATATGATTGTAAGAAAAATGAAAATAACTACAACAATTATTTTTTTTTTTTTTCCCGTAGGGTAAGTAATGGGCCGAAAATCGGAATTGAAATTTTTACATTCTCGACGTTTTGAAGGTTCTGAACATTTTGGCATACCTCAAAAAAATGGATGTGGTGTGTGTGTATGTATGTATGGATACAAATTTTCGCCTACGTTTCGGGCGTACGGATCAGCCGATTTGAATGGTTGAAAAACATTCGATTCCTATTGATAAGGAAAAGAGCTGATTAGTTTTTGGTAGAGCAGGTCCAGCAGGTACGGAGATAACGAGCAAAGAGTGCATAAGATAGAAATCGAATTTTTGAGAGAACGGAGTATCCGATTTGAATGATCTAAAAGAACATTCAATT